TACACATATATATATATATTAATTGATTTAAAATATGTTTTTTTCGCTACACAGTTCTAACCATGTTTCAAAAATGGAAGCTAAAAGCCCCGAATTTAATTTTGTAATTAAATTAAAGACATAAGTTCCATTTCATCTTCAAGCGAATTTTGGAGTAACTTTTTAAATTACTGGGTTTTAAAGACACAGCTGAAATCATAATTCACGTTTCCAAGGTTACAGATAAATCCACTTCCACTAGACAAGGGGTGTCTGCGTGTTCATTATGTCTGTATTTTGATGTACCAGTTATTAGTTACGTTTTGGTAGCGGGTAGGGATGTATTTTTCAATGAAATCTAACATCCGTTAAATGCATGTCGTCTGGATTTTTTAAAATTTTATTCTTAACGGCAAAAATTCTTACGGCATTTTTTTATGTTTGTATATTTAAAGATTTTTTGGGGGGTGTTTAGGTTAGAATACGTTTTATTTAACTACGATTTGAAATATTTTTACTTTTAATTTTTAATAATGCTCTGTAAATTTACATTGAGCACTATTTTGTAAAAATAAAAAATATCTATAAAAAACACCGGATTATATATCTTACTGTTCTTTTTTTTTTTATTATATATATATATATATATATATATATATATATATATATATATATATATAAAGAGAGAAAAAAAAACGGCTGATATAGATAGATTTTCAGCCTCAGAGCTTTTATTTCAAATGTTTTGCTATTTGGTATTTTCTAACCCAATTTCACTGCCCACACCGACCGGCCCCTTTTTTCATAATTGCGCCTCTATATTCGCTAGTCTTACAGTCTCATCGTATTTAAACACCGATTCCCGTACCATCACCACAGTTAAGCAACGCCCAACCTTATTAGTAACTAGATGGGTGACCGCTTGGGAATACCCATGCTGTATGTTGGGTGTGCAGGTGGTGTAATCTATAATGACTCAAAATTGTTAATCGGAGAACCGAGTTCTAATTTCAGTTGCATTCGTTATATTCACTTACGCGCAAATATCTTTTGGAAAGGTATGAATCCACTTCTTCTCCTCCTATCTATGGGTTAATTATTTAAGACATGCATCACTAAATCATTATTATCCCCCCTACCTTCCAAAACTTCTTACAAATTAAAAATAGTTTTGCTTTAAATTACCTGCAAAGGCTTGATAAACCGTAAAAAACCCCGAATCAATTCATTTATATTCTCCAAATGGTTTTCAGACACAATTACAGCATTATCAGATTCTCTCACTTTGCTAATTATGCTCTTGCATCTGTTGTTCTATATGACAACTCTGTTGTTCTATATGACAACTCCTTTTCTAATTCATTATTATCCACTTTAGCGTTACATAAACCATCCTTTAATTCTTATTCTTTCTATCATCGATTTTATTTTTTATAAATTGCATTTTCGAGAAACGTGGACTTTTGGTGAACATAAATCTTTGTCAGAGCGCGTTCCAATGTAAAATGTCACAAAAAGACAAATGCTTAAAAGATGAGAAAACAATTCGTATCTTTTAATCATAAAGGCTGAAATCTATTCTCCATTCCACAAGAATTAGTTTTATGCTCACCATTCTTAATACCTATACCTGTTGCAAAATTCATCAGGTCGGTTTATCCGGACCCGTCAAAGGGACCCGTCGCAACCTTACGTAAGCAGACCAAGAGTAGCATAGATCATATTCATTCGGACGTATAACTTCATAGTAGGGGTTTCACCTGGTATTTGAATTCACAAGTATTAAATGTATGCAGACTTTTACATTCAGAATGTCCGGGTTGCCAAACAAATCAATAAAACCCAGTTTATTCTGCTATTTTACCCATAGCATTAGGCAGAAGAGATCGATTCATACCTTTCTCAAGAGTATTAGCACGTATGGGAGTGCTATGAACTCAACCAGAATTCGAACTCGGCACTCTGATTCCTCAAATCTGAGCTGTTAACCATTACTCCATCATGCCTCCGCCAAATCCACCATTTACCCCACCGTGCCTCCACCGCACTCTGTTTACTCCCCCATTCCTCCACTTACCCCACCGTGCCTCTACCGCACTCTGTTTACTCCCCCATTCCTCCACTTACTCCCCCGTGCCTCCACCGTGCCTCCACCGCCCTCTGTTTACTCCACCATTCCTCCACTTACGCCACCGTGCCTTCACCGCACTCCGTTTACTCCACCTTTCCTCCATATACCCCGCCGTACCTCCACCGCATTCCGTTTAATCAACCATTCCTCCACTTACACCAGAGTGCCTCCACCTACTCACCTTGCATCCATTTACTCCATTTTATGTTCCCTTACTCCACCGTACATCTACTTAATCCAACAAGCCTCCACCTACTCCAGTGGGTCTTCACCGCACTCCATTCACTCCACCTTGTGTATAATGACACCGGACATCCATTTACTACGCCGTGCCTCCTCTTACTCCACCGCGACCCCACGTACTCCAACGTGCTTCCATATTCTATATAACAAACAGAAACAAATATCTATTTTCTTGTATTCTTGTATACATATTTACAATAGTTTTTTTCTAGTGAGCTCCCATTTCCTGGTATCACGACCACATGAATTTAAGCGTACTACTTGACTACTAATTGTCTTTGTTTTACTGTTGAAATAGATAGATATAACTATATATTCAATTTTAATACTTCTGTTTCTAGTATTTCTTAGCCGCGGGACTCTGTTCCAACTTCTCGCTTCCTTGTAACATACGATCTTCAAAGACTGAAATGCAACCTCATTCACCATATTGTATCTTCCTGATTCCGAATCATTTATAGTCATTTCTACTCAATAAAGCTTTCGCCATTCTCTTCCACTCCTAGTTACACCTTGCGTCTTAGGAGCATTATCACCTTAACTGAGGTGAAATTAATAGAAAAAATTACAAATTTCAACTGACAGTGGTACTGGTTGTTTCCATCTAAGGAAACAGTTATTTGTTGTTCTTAGTGCATAGAACATCTACATGAAAAACTTGAAGTCAGGAAGAAAGGTTTTAAATATTTTCATTTTTATTTCTATATTATTAGATAAATAAGACTATTAAAAAATTATAATGTGACATTCCAAAACATTGTCTTACTTAAAGACAACGTTTTTGACAGGCATAGACAGACTTTTGTTTCCAAATTAAACAATTCATTTACAAAAATATTAACTTTGAACGAAACTGAAACCCACGTCTTGTAGGATGAATAATACCTCATAAATATAACGTAAGCTGTACAATTTACTAATAATTTTGCTAATTTTACTAATTACTAATTTTTTTCTTGATTTGCCTTGCTGAAATTGGGGTGCGTCGTATACACACGTGCGGCTTATATGTCGTCAATTACGGTAGGTATTCCACACTGTGGTATTCGAAGATCTCCCAGGAATGGTGAAATGTTGTAAGAGCTAGGTTGCCAAATTTACTGTAGGTGATCTTGCGATTAAGGTACTCTCTTGACATATACATATATATATATATATATATATATATATATATATATATATATATATATATATATTTATTTTTTTTTAAATTATAACATAAATGTATTATAAAATCACTACAAATATAGCCATTTTGTTTCAACACCTCCGATGATGTAAAATAAATGATTTTAAAAGTTTCAAATTAATTAACGATCCTTCGCAAGGGGAAAACGTAGTTACAAATTGAGCACTCTTTTAAGAATAGTAATTGTTGGTTATTGGAATTCATTCCTTATACACCAATTATATACTTGTATATATATATATATATATATATATATATATAGGGAAAAAACTTGCAAACTGGAAAAAATTTCCATAAGACGCCTTTAGTCTTTTACGATATTACGGACTATAATAATGTTTACATTGATTCAACTACACATACGCACCTAAGAGAGGAGTGTGTGAGATTTTAAATTTAAATTATTTCTTTAAAATATATATATTTCATTTATTTTGCTTTTGTTCATGTGTCCATAATTTTTGTTTTTAAATATTTTTTAAATTTTTAAATATCCCAGGTTGGGATCTTTAAATATTTTAAAATATTTTTAAATTTTTAAATATTCTATGTTGGGATCATAGATCTGCCAAATGAGTAAATATATCTTTCATTTTGACTTTTATCGTGTTCAGGAATATTGATGATGTGGTATTATTTTGGTTAAACAAGTCAAGATTACAACTAAACGAAAAATAACAAGAAAAAACGAACACGAGCCTATAAAAAAAACTTTACTATATCCTTTATAGAATCTGTACAACCTACGTCTTGTAAACGTTTTATTGGAATAATTAAGATATAAAAATACTGATTGTATTTATATCGATGCAACCGGAAGTTATTGCAAGAAAATTATTAATGAAAAAATTAAATTTTAAAAATTATATAATTTGAATTTATTGCATATAATGAAAGTGAAAGAAAGTACTAATATTAAACGTGATGAAATTATCTGTCTATCTTTCTGAAAAGATGTATTATGTATATTATTTACATTATTCGGACTATTGTCCTCATCTTTGTCGCCATATTTATTACAACGTTTCGGCAGTTGTACGCTCCGGCTTTCTTCAGGTGGTTGGAATTTAACCCTTTAAAGAATCAGCACATATGCTAGGCCACAATAATCTCCTCATTCGACCAAGCATATGAATACAATATGGAACCAGTAATAAGGAGTGCCAAAGAAAAGCGATAATAACAACAAAAGTTACAATATGAGCTCAGGTAAAAAAAATTATTGATAACAGAAAAAAATTGCAATATGAGCACTGGTAAAAATGGTTGCTGAAGCCATTAGGTTTATAATACCCAGTAATTTATGTACGGGACACATAGCACAGTGGATAAAGGCGTTGGTTAGATCCAATGACAGGACCCAAAGAGTGTGAGTTCAATACCCGGTTAAGGCAGTGGAGAACTTTCAGAGGGAAATTAACAGAAGATAACTGATAATTGACATCCATTAATCATGGCATGTGGAACTAGAACAGTGAGCGAACATAAAGCGAAATAAAGGGTTCAGTTCGACATTCCAACAACCTGAAGAAGGCCCGAACGTACAACGGCTGAAACGTTGTAATGGCGACAAAGATGAGGACAATAGTCCGAATAATGTAAATAGTGATGAAATTAATATAATGATTAACATTTCTTCAATCTGCATAATAGCCTTTAAAATAATGGCAATATGTATATAAAAGTATATTGCTCTAATGTCTAAGCTAATATAAAACGCAAGGGAATTTTGAAAGATATTTTTAGCAAAAAAAAAAAAGAAGTGCGCCTTATATGCCGTCAAATACGGTAATTGCAAAAGGCATGAAAGGAAAAAGGGAAAGACTCTAAATGAATATGACTAATAAAAAAAAATACTAAGATTACCAACATTCCTCGTTTGTGTACATGTATAGTCCTACCAACATGAAAAAATTAAAGACGAAGCACATCACAAGTAAACTTTTTGCAACAGATGTCTATATCTTTAAAATGAGGTATTATGATTACTTGCATTATTTACATTACTCGGGCTGTTATCATCATCTTCATTGCCATATTCACAATACGTACGCTCCTGCTTTCTTCAGGTGATTGGAATTTCGAACCTAATCTATTTTTCGTCCACCGGGGTAGATTGTTCTAGTTCCACGTGCCATGCTTCTTACGGATGTCTCAGTTATTTCTCTTTAACTCATTTCTCCATGTTTTGGTTCACCACTTCTGTAGTCTGGTAATGAACTCACAACTCTGTGGGTATAGTCACTGGAACTAACTAACATCTTTATCCACTGGGTCACCTGAAGAAAGCCTGGGAGTACAACGACTGAAACGTTGTGAATATGGCAATGAAGATGGGTATAACATTCCGAGTTATGAAAATAACGGAATTAAACATTTTACACTTGTCATACAATTCCCCCAATACTGTCATGATATATAAAAATATATATCGTTATCTTTATATATATATATATATATATATATATATATATATATATATATATATATATGTGTGTGTGTGTGTGTGTGTGTGTGTGTGTGTGTGTGTGTGTGTGTGTGTGTGTGTGTGGAATTCATAGATTTCTTTTATAATCCAACATTATTTCTCATTACTTTAAATGTTATATTTAGTAGATAGCCGTGTTTTAGTAAACAGCTATGTTTTTTAAACAATATGCATAAATGTCTCCCGGCCTGTGTAGTTGAGAGTCTCAATACAGTAAATGTACCTTCCGTTTTTTTGTGTTTTGTTTTTATGAAGGCTCTCGTATGCTTACCAGTGAATACATAAAATAAAAGAAATATATTTTCTATTCTAAAAAATAAACGAAAAAGATATTTATAAAGAATGATGTTTTACTTTCTTTAAATTTCTCAAATTCAAACGTTTTAAAATAGGCCTCTAGTTTTTGCCTTTACTTGCACTATGAGTTGCTCTATGGTATAGAACACAGTGAAATAAATACGTGTCACAACCTAATCACAATTTATAATTAGCTTTGCCTGCCCGAGGTGTTCTTTGTCTGATTCTTTCTTTATTTCTTTCTCATTCACACACTTAATTCTCTTATTTTCCGTATCTCACGAAACACAATTAATTGTACACGTTGCATGATGATGTTTTGTTTAAGTCTATCTCTTTTCCTCTTTCCTCCTCTTTGCTTGTATTTCCGACTGCAATTCTGCCTCAAGAAATGTTATTGAAGTTAGAACAATCCGATTTCTGTCTTTCGGGAACATCTGTGTATTCAGTAATTCTAATCTGACCTCTTTTCTTTAGGGAAATTTTAATCAAGTGTACTTGACAGAAAAAGCTAACAGACGATAAGAGATTATTAAAATCAATAGTAGAATTTTGTTCGTTAGTCCCCTGAGTGGATATATTGTCGAGGTGCAATTCTGTATCTAGCCTTCAACTGAGGACAAAATATATTTATGTATTAGGGCATAACGAACGTGTAAGTTACATAAGCGAAGTAACAGCGGCATACATGCAACCGTTATAAAGAAAATCAAAATTAGAATCTTGTACGCATGATGAGGTTTTTCTTCTTCTATTTGCAAGTTCTTTCAAGATTTTACCGATCAGAACTCTTCACAGTTTTTTTCTGACCTTTGAAGTTCTTATTAAATCTTTTATTTATTTATATATTTTTTAAGTCTTTTATTTATTTATTTTTTATTCATTTATTTTTTATTTTTTATTTTTTGGCGCAGTTTTGCTAACCATTTACACATGTTACATTAGAGAAACAGTGGCGTAATCGCGACGTTGAGAAATCAGAAAGCCATCCGAGTTCGAATTCCAGTCGAGTCCATGACATTCACTTACGTGTTAATAATCTTGAGAAAGGTATGAACCCCTTTCTCCTTCCCCCAGCTTTGAGTAAATAGCAGTACAGCCTGGGTTCTATAGCCTTGACTGGCAACCGATCTACGGCAGATTGAAATGGCAACCTAGTGCGGGAAAAATCTG